AGCGTGGCCGCCATGGTCGCGCGCTGCCTGCGCGGCGCCGTGGCGGCCCTCGGCGGCGAGGACCAACTCGGCCCGCGCACGCTCGCGGCCCTGCGGCGCGCCATCGACGCGGAGGACGGCGCGGCGCTGGTGCTGCTCGACGCGCTCGCGCGCGCCGGCGCGGAGCGTCCCGCGCACCACCCCATCGCCTTCGACGCGGCGCCGGAGCGCGTCGAGGTCACGGCCGTCGCGACGCGGCGGCCTCCCGTGGCGGCGGCGCCGACGCCCGCGCCGCCGCGGCCCACGCCGACGCCGACGCCGACGCCGCGCGACGAAGAGGCGAAGGACGACGAGTCGCTGGCGCCCGTGCTCAAGAAGCTGTGCGTCTCGACGTGCGAGGTCAAGTTCCTGCTCGTCTTCCCCTACGACGCCGTGGACTTGTACGCCGTGGAATACATGGCCTACCGCGCGCGCATCGTCAAGTGGACGAATCGCAACGCGGGCTACGTGGGCGAGACCGTCTGTTTCCTCTCCACAGAGCGACCGGAATTCACGCTCGAGGTCCCGGCCGGGGCGAAGCTCGGCGTCTACGACCCCATCGGCTGCGCCCTCTGCGAGCCCTTCGTCGTCGTCGACGACCTCGTCAACTACGTTGAAATGGGCACGGGCACGATCGCGGCGCGCGACGCCGCGCGTACCGTCAGCGTCGACGCGGCCGCGGCCCTCTACTTCGCGCCGGTCCCCGGGCCCAGGACGACGGTGCCGAGCTCTTGGGCGGCGACGGACTGCCTGTACCCGTGGTTCGGTGGGCTCTTCGACTCCGACGGCAGCCTCTCGGCCACCGTTAAGCCTACTCGAGGTGACGATCAAGACATGGTATCGATCCAAGTTCAGGTCACCATAGAGCAGCGCCTGAGCCGTGATTCACTGCCGTTCATGGCCTGGGCGGCGAACGAGATGGGCACCGATGCCAAAATCTTCGCGCGCCTCTCCACCTTGTACGACAAGGAGTGCGGCGACGACGCTCGCGAGTTCGTCGGCGTGCGGGTGAATGGGACGGGGCCCAAGGCGCTCGAGTTCCTCAAGAAACTCGAGCCCTACGTGGGCATCAAGCGCGAGGTGGGCGCGGCGGTCGAGGCCGCCGACGAGGGCATGCTCTTTCAAGGGACCGGCAACGGCCTGACTCGATACTCCGGCCAGCCGAAAGACGCCGTTTTCTGGCGGGCCATTGGCGTCCGCAACGACTTGGTGGCGTTCTGCGCGCACGTGAAGACGGAGGCGGGCCAGCTCAGCGAGGATGAGCTGCGCGCGCGAATGCCGTACCGGCGTACCGGCGTCGTAGACGTGGAGCGGCTCGGCGCGTACTTCGGCGGCCTCGTGTCTGGCGACGCCCATGCCTCCTCCCGCGGGGCCCTCCGCATCTCTCAGAGCTACAAGGCCTTCTTGAACGTCGTCTCCGAAGACCTCAACGCGGCCTTTGGGACCGACTTCCGCGTCTACGAGCACCAGAAGACGGAGAATAGCAAGAAGACGCCTTTCGAGGCTATGTCGTCGCGGACGGCCGCCAACGAGGCGGGGAACAAAAAGCTCGCGCGCGCCGCGCTCAGGAACATGCCGATGTGCGACGAGAGCAAGCGCGCGGCGCTCCAGCGCGTCATCGACGGCGCGGCCAAGTGAGCCGAACGACGACCACGCGATGAGCCGCGAAGGCGCCGATCGCGCGCTCGAACACGACACCGAGTGGACCTACTAGTCCTTACTCACCTAATTGTCGGTTCGCTGGGAGTCCGGGGCGACGTCGCGCTCGCGTCGACGCTGAAGATCGACGCCGCGAACCAGCCCTGCTCCAAGTTCGGCGTCCATCCGTCCATGCCGGCGATCCACGAGTCCTATAAAGACGACGGCGACCTCGCGTTCGTCGCCAACGTGGGGCCCATGGTCGAGCCCATCGCGACGGTTGAGGAGTTCGAGGCCGGCGCGCGCGACGAGCCGCCGGCGCTCTTCTCGCACAACGTGCAGACCGTCTGCGCCATGAACGTCCACGCCCAGGACGCGAACGCGGACGGCGTGCTGGGGCGCATCGGCGACGCGCTCGACGAGTCGTTCGCGGCCTACTCCATCTTCGGCGAGGAGCCCAAGGTCCTCGAGGGCGCCGCGGGGCTCCGGCCCGTCGCGGACATCCTCGCGTCGTTCGGAGTCGCGGGCCTCGCGGACGTCGCGAGGACGTTGGAGTCGTCGATCCGCGCGCTCACGAGCAAGGTGTCGACGTCGATCTTCTCGGAGACCTACGCGGAGCGGACGATCTCGGCTATTGATAGATCCTACGCGTTGGACGCCACTCTCAAAGCGCACGAGCTCGTCAACGGGCGGTGCGAGGCGCTGAGCCAGAACCGCGATCTGATGGACCAATTCGAGCAGGTCGACCGGCTCATCCGCGGCAAGGATCAGCTGGGTTCCTCGCGTGCGGTCTTCCACGTGCAACTCGACGGCTTCGACACCCACAGCGACAACGGCCCCGCGTTCGCGGCGCTCGCGTCGGAGTTCGACGAGGCGCTCGACTGCTTCAAGAAGGAGATGATCGCCCAGGGCATGTGGGACTCCGTCGTCGTCGTGCAGGCGTCCGAGTTCGGCCGCACGCTCACGTCCAACGGCCAGGGCACGGACCACGGCTGGGGCGGGAACTCCTGGGTCGCGGGCGGGTCCGTCAAGGGCGGCCAGATCGTCGGCAAGTTCCCGAGCGACCTCACCCAGGACTCGCCCCTGTCCATCGACGAGATGGGCCGCTTGATCCCAACGACCTCGTGGGAGTCGCTCTGGCTCGGCGTCGCCCAGTGGTTCGGCGTCTCCGACGACAAGATGCCGTCGGTCCTCCCGAACCTCGGAAACTTCCCCGCGTCCGAACACATCACCAAGGCCCAGCTCTTCCGGTGATCTCTAAGACGCGTTCCCTGCTCTGCCGGGGTCTCGGGCGCGGCGGCGGGTGTGGCCGCCGAGCCGTCATGAGGCAGGCGCTCGGGGTCTTGGCGGTCGCGGTCCCGCCGCCGGCGGCACGAACGCCGGCGACGGGCCGCGGCCTGGTGAGCGCGGGAGCGTCGGAAGATCTCGAGGAATCGTCGCCGGCCTACGCGCAGGCGTCGGGGACCTTGAGCCCCTTCTTCGTCGCCGCGGAGCAGATGGCCGCGAGGACGCTCGCGGCCCAGGCGTCCGTGCCCTTGGAGTCGTCCGTGACGTCGACGCCGTCGACGAAGACCCAGGACGGGTGGCCGCCGTTCACGGCGTTCGCGGTCTTGGCGCTCTCCTGCATCCACGTCGCGGACGTGGTGTTCGCGGCGCAGCTCTTGAGGCCGTCGTAGGCGTCGCCGGCGCAGGCCTCGAGGACGTGGTCCTCGTAGCAGTTCGGGTACTTGTCCGTGCCCTCGGAGAGCATGAGGCACTTCTGGTACCTGTGTGGTGCAAAATGAGCGCGGGAAGTAACGACGAACGCCGGAGCGCTCACTGGTAGCCGCAGTGGATGAACGGCCACGCGTCCGCGGCGGGGAGCGTCTTCTCGGCGCAGAGGAAGAAGCGGTCCGCGACGCAGCCGTTGAGGCCGCCGTGGGACGCGTCCGCGGGGCAGGCGCCCGAGGACCAGTCCTCGATGAAGTTCACGTCGAGGGCCACGAGGTCGAGGATGCCCGTCGCGTTGAGGGCCTTTTCGTGCAATGCGAGCGCGTGCTCCTGGCAGTCGCCTCAGGTGCTCTTGCAGGCGATGGACACGGTCACGAGGTCCGAGGCGGCGGCGGCGGCCGCGCCGACGAGGAGGAGCAGAGCGCTGCGGGCCATGGATGCGGTCGGCGGGGCAGCAGCAGAATACAGCCTATTACAGCAGGGCTGGCTCTCGCGGTCGGCGGGGCAGCAGAATACACAGGGCTGGCTCTCCCAATCTATCGAAAAAAAAACGCACCATTGAAGGCATCTTTACAACCTCAATACTGCCGCGCGTAGTCCGCGCCGTCGACGATCTCGAAGTCGATCGTGAAGGGCCGGAGGCCCGGGGGCACGGCGTACTGCTCGAGGACGACGCTGACGCGGGCGCCGCCGAAGGCGCCGCCGGACGCCGCGGGCGCGAAGGCGGCGACCGCGTGCTCCGCGTCGCCGCGGAACACGACGAGGCGGTTCGCGCGCGGCCGGATCTTGCGGTCCACGGGCCGCGGCCGCGCGGCGTCGCGGCGCCAGAGGGGCCGGGCGGGCTCGCGGAGGCAGAGCTCGCCGCCCGTCGCCTCCGGCGCGTTCACGTAGAGCACGGCGACGCGCGCCGCGAGCGGCGGCGACGCCGTCGCGCCGGCC